ATAACTCATAGACATAATAGTGCTAGCGATTAAATGCTTTTTACATATCCAAGCTTTCAAAGACGTTTCCTTTCATGGTGGCATTCTGCAAATGTCCTCTTCCATAGTTGTTCTTGATCATCAGAAAGATCAAACTTTTCTGAAAGTAATTTCGGATAACAAATTCCTTTTTTCCGGGTTTTACTAAGCTAGCACGACAAGCTATCTATCACGTCCCCACTCATGGAGCCCTCGATGAAAATTAAGACTCAGATTATCCCAAGAAAGCACGGGTGCAGAGATCTCACACTTGCTCCATAAGCACATGCCTGGATTAATAGCGCAGCTTAAGTTAAAGGTCTGGAGGCTGGACATTAAAATAGTTTCTTTGTTATTAGTATGCGACAGTTAATTATTACAGATATAATATTCGCATTGCCACGCCTAGGGCTGATGCAGAATTCAAGAATGAGACCTCATTCAACGGAGACTTGACTAAAGTTGCAATGAACAAAACCACTCTACCTGCATAAGCGATTTACTGCTAAACCTGGGGATATTATCCAGCAGTTCGGTTCCCGTGCGCTGTACGCATGTACCGATCCCTGAAAGCGATTCACTTAACCAGCCATAACGATCTCCGTCTGATTTCATTTGGTTCACAAGGGTCGGACGGACATTGGACGGAACTGTGATGAGGCGTTTAGCACGTGAAGCCTTATTTCCTAAGAACCATTTTTCCCTATGAATAATCGCCTTCTCCACGCGTCCTTTTCTATCCTAACGGTGTCAAATAGGTCGCGTTATGATGCAGGCCTAGTTGATTGCCAAATACTGGACCGTAGTTACGTATGTACTGCGGTGTTTTATGCCATACGGGATCAACCGGTCCTGTTCAGCAAGTGGCTGAAATCCAAGTGAGTGAGAAGCGCAACTCTAAGGGCAGAAACATACATTATAAATAGCTCATTTAAATAAAAAAAACTTATATTCACTTCTCCCGGAAGCAGTAAGTGAGCATTATATGTGCCCTCCGGACGTTTTAGACTGAAAATAAAAATGTTTAGGATTCGAACAGTATATTCGAGTTTAGCAGTGACACTGCGGATCATTAAACTCGAGGTTCAGGGATGTTGTCCTAATGGATTAGGTCATGGTCCTGTCCATCGTCGGCCAACCCTGACTAGGCAAGGGACCATGTGTAGACAGGGAAGCAATTATAGCCTGGACTTCGTCTTGTCCTATGCCATTTCCTTACCCTCCTCCAAAGAAGTCTTCTTATTGATGTCCACGAGTAAAATTGGTTAGCGAAGTAATGGGTGTGCCCACATAACATCTTATTGTATGGGCTGGGAGACACATAGGGAATAATCATAACATACGCAATGCATGAGCCTATATATTAAGCCTTGGTAAGAGATACGGAAAATAAAAAGTAGACTTACGCAATGTGCTGATTCCATGTAGGTTTTATACTTTTGTGAATAGCCGTTGCATGCATTCCCTAAAGAATGACCGTGATTCACGAAACACCAGTTTACAGGATAAATTTAGAGCAGGAGGTTAGGTAATAGGAAGGATATGGCGTCATCGACCCAGACCTAATAAAGGATTTCAACATAGTCAGCCGCAAATTATCTATAGAATTGTTTAGGAATTATGACTTACGTTGTGAAATATTTGAGTAATTTTCTCAAATTTATGACATGTGGCAGGCGTCAGTGTTCAGGATGCTAATGGTCCTTGTTTATGAAAAAGACTGCCGCAGAGGGCTTCCAAGACCTGCCTTAGGCAGAGCAAGACTTGGAAGCTGCTGCATAGCGCGCCATAGCACTAGCTTCTGTTATAATGGGCTTCTAAAATCTTATCAGATTTTTTGTATATTATATACATAGGACTTTTGTCCTGCCATACCCTGAATACAGAGCACTAGCAGAATTTAAAAACATCGTTCGGAACAAAAGCGCAAAACCAGGTAACCAAACGGTACGCTCATTGAAGATCTAAGACATTTTTGCAGTTTCGCTACATGCATGATTTTTGAGGGAACCCTTAAGGTAGCCGATACGCCTCCGGATGTTATAACAATAACAGAAACGTGGCTGCCAGAGAACGTAGGTGATTGCGAGGTAGCACTAACAGGATACCAGTTGTTTAGGAGAGATAGGAGAGGCCGCCTGGGGGGAGGAGTTGCCATGTATATCAAGAGCAACTTAACAGTGTGTGAGAGGACCGACAAGATTTCTGACGACACAGAGGCAATTTGACTGACTATGAAGGCTCGGGGTCTCAGTCCCTCGAAGTCGTATCTACCGGCTCCCGCAGGCGGATCCCGACCCAGATAATTGTCTACTGGAAAGCATAAAAGAGATTGCCAGTCGACCAGACGTTGTTCTTGTGGGGGATTTTAATGTACCCTGCATTCGATGGAGCGATAGGCATGCAAAGTACTCGAAGAATACCTTCGATTACCGTCTACTTAAGGCAACCCTAGAAGCTCTTCTCATTCAACGTGTCCTGTATTCAACAAGAGCGCGTGGTGGGCAACAGGCCAGTTGTCTGGACCTCGTCTTCACCAAAGATCCTGACAGCATAAACGAGGTGTACTACCTACCCCCGCTTGGTAGAAGTTATCATGCAGTACTTTTATGGGAGTACGAGTTGTATTAGGAACCGCATATAAAAGACGACACGAGGCCAAAGATATGGAAAGGGGACTTTTGCCATATGAGAGCTGAGGCATCACAAATAGACTGGGATGTTCTATTCTCCGGAAATGTTAACGAGGATTGAAATTCATTCAAGGGTCGACTGCTGCATCTAATAAAGAGCCACTGTCCTTTATCAGAGGCTAGGACAGCCAACAGCCCTCAGTGGCTAATACGAGAACTCGAAAAGGAGATCAACAAGAAAGGAAGATTGTGGAAGAAATTCCGCGAAAACAACAACAATGCAGCGTTTACAGAATACAAAGTTCAAAGAAATAAGGTGAAAAGCCTGATTTTCAGGGGGCGACGGATTTCGAGAGTAATTTGCTCCACCGAACAGTTAAAAATCCGAAATTGCTCTGCACTTGTTTGCGGAAGAGCACACGTAACAGAATTCCCATTACTGTCATGAGGGATAATGACGGTTTGGAGATATCGAACAATACAAATAAAGCCGAGCATTTTTCTCAGTTTTTCCAATCCGTTTTCACAGGAGAAAAAGACTTTATTCCATTTAGTTCTGAGAACATGGGAGATCCCACTATCGAAAATGTCGTGTTTTGAGAAGAAGAGATTTTGGACGAACTAAAAAGCTTGAAGGAATGTCAATCTCCGTACACTAAGATCTTTCATAAGTTTTGTCCTTTAGCCGTTTTGGAGGTTTGCTCTTTGCATTTGTCTTGCTAACTAAAGTACTGTTTACTGAATCCTGCCCACCATTGTTCTCTTGCGAAGCTTCGGTAAAGCGGCCAGCTCGTTTTTGAGTTTTTGGACTTTGAGCAGGATATACGAGCATCCAGCGCAAGACTCTTCCTCGCATCCGGCAGATTTCGCCGTGATTACGCTTTTGGCGCGCTTTGTAAGCCTCTGGTTGCAACTATAAAGAGAGCGAGTGCTAATCCTGGGTGGCAAGATCATATCAGTAGGCTTTCTTTCGGACGTATTGCTGGTCCTGGTCGTGCTACTACCAAAAAGTTGCCGTGTGTCCATGAACGTCGTATATAAAACAGTGCATATTCGCCTTTAAGATTATAACAGATACAGTGAGTGACCGATCTCATGAAATGCTGGCTGAAATTCTGAAATGCGTTTTCGATTAGGAAGGATTACTTGGTCTCCGTCGTAATACTGATTAACATAAGGCATACTCTTTAACATTTTAGACTCGGCAGGATGTCGGCATTTAAATGCACTCCTTTTCAATCTCCTGTAAAAAGCGTGCTCGGTAAAAAGGACTACTTAAGTAGCATGCGTTTTCCCATTGATTTTTGATGGTCTTGGAAATTCAAATATATTTTATAGAAACCATTAACAAAATATGCTTTCTTTTAGTCAATCAATAGAGAATCACGTCTTGTTTATATTTTATACTTAAGGAAGGCGTATAATTAGGTTTTAAAAAAGTTTCCAATTATGAGACTTTTTGAGACCGCGAAAAGCCCATTCACATAGCATCGTACATGGCCGTTTACCACTGCTCCTCATGAAATGTTCAACATGGTCCGCATCCATCGCAATGTTTTATGGAAATGAACAGCAAACCCCCGTGGTAAGCACAAGCTTTAAAGATAGAAGTGAATAAAAAGCAGAGGTTATGAAGGAAATGTCCCTCATATAGGATCTCTGTGTAGATACATGAACACAAGGCGCAAAAGGAACCTAGTTAAGTGACCAATCTTCGGGACACGGCGCGCATTCGTAAAAAAACCCACTGAACAGGGTCGCAGAGAATCCGAAGTTATTATATACTTACATAAGAAGGTGCATGCGAAACAGAAGCCCAATCCCATTATTGAAAGCTAGTGTAGATCTAGAGCTTAGTGAAGTTGGAGCAAGAGAAGAGAGCCGTTCACAATGTTTAAGTCCATCTTTACGAAGGAAGTCCTATTTGTTCCTTCCCACTGTGACTTAATAGGCAGGCCATCGATTGGGACTGTTTCTTTCGTTGAAGCTATTATTCGCAATGGCGTGTTTCACTGAACGAGGCTAAATCCTCTGGGCCCAAATTGTTGAAATAGCTCGTTGGAAAACTATCTTAACCGCTGACAATGCTCTTTCAAGCCTTGTTCGAAGCAGGCCATTTGCCCGCGGACTGGAATTCTGCGCGGATCACACCACTTTGTAAGGGTGGTAGCGAGGTCTTAACAAAGACTTACAGACCAATCAGATTTACTTCACTTTGTTTCTTAGAGCAGCATAACCTGCTTTACGACGCCGAGCACGGATTCCGTAGAGGCAGGTCATGCATGACAAACCTACTCTGGACCCCGGCAGTTAATGGAGATTACGCAGTGCATGCAGTCTATTTGGACTCTAAGAAATCATTCGATAGTGTACCTCAGGCGTAATCTCCTGAGGTGGATTCAAAGCTTCTTCATCGGTTTCTCTCAAACTGTCCTCGTCGGTAACAGGCGGTCGGCGGAGGTATAGGTTGGAATCGATGTTCCTCGGGGCTACGTCCTTGGCCCTACCTTGTTGATTATATACGTCAACGACTGGAACAATGAACTGAATTGTGATGTCATTATGTTCGCTGATAATGTCAAGCTTCGGAGCGCCATCCAAACTGGATTTGACGAAGAGAGCCTGCATACAAACCTGAACCGGCTCGAAAAATGGTCGCAAGGCTGGCTTTTGCCTTTTAATTTGACTAGGTGCAACATTCTGCCAGTCGGTGGAATCTAATCTCCGAGACATTGGGTTAACCACCCAAATGGCGTGCCATTGCCAAGGGGGAAACGCTCAGAAAGATTTGTATGTGCGGGTCACGGCATCACTTAAACTGTCGCTCTACTGCTCCAAGGCAGCCAGGTCCGCGATGTCAGTCCATTACCTTGTCAATCGCGCCTTCTATAACTTCAATGAGCATTGCTTCGCTAAAGCCTTTCAGACGTTTTTGCGGCCACACTTGTTCGCTATTCAAGCGTGGAAAGCCTGGGCCGCTAAAGAGCTAAGCATCCTTCGGGAAGTTTAAAGGCGGGCAATCACACTCGTCAGTGAACAGGGCTTGCTACCCTACAAAACACGGATATCCAATCTCAGCCTTTTTCCTCTGAGTCAGAGACGGCTAAGAAGCGACCTGATACAAACATTCCGCATCATGTGCTGTCAGAACTGCTGTCTTTTACCTGCTGACTTCTTTGAGTTAGCAACCGCAACGAACCTCTGATGTCATCCACTTAAACTATGCGTGACTGACGCTAGGCTGAACATACGGAAGTTCTTCTTTTCCAACGGAGTGGTCGAGGCTTGGAATGCCCTACCCGTAGATATCGTCATGTCCACATCCGACGAGGCTTTTAAGCGCAAGTTACATCAGTTTAAGAACACACCCGGCCGATATCGTCATAGCGTTTCGCACAAATATTTCATTGCTGTTATTATATTGTCGTCTGTTTTTCAGTAACGCTTGTTTTTTATTTTATCATTATTCTAAGTCCATTTAATGTGAATGTTGGCATTCACTTCGTTCCCCTCAGATAACTGAGATCGTACCAAATTTCTACGGTGCACTTAAGCGTAGACTAACTGCCTTACAGTGCATTTAGTAATGTTGGTGTTTTAAACACTTGGAACAGTTCGCTTATATGCTCAGTTTCGAAAACATTTATGTGGATGTTTGATGTTTTCATTTTCAACTTTTTGATAAAATTCGCTTACTCGTAACAAACAGGGAGTTCAATGGTTCAACACCTACGTTTCCCTCGAATAAACTTAACTGAGCAATATGTTTATGACTCGGTTTAAATTTAAACAGCCTGCATTGTAGCAGCCGAGGACGCCAAGGACAGCAAACACCGAGGTAGTGAAGCACTGGAAAGAGGTCCTGACTAAGATCGATCTGAATAGAGCTGCAATACTCATCCATACCCCAGGGAAGAAGAAACGTTAGGCAGGTAATGAGGTATAATGGGAAGAGATGAAAACTAGGAATACATATAATAGTAGTTAGGTGTACAAACGGGACGAGTTACTACAAGGGAGTAACCTGTCTGGGTGGTGAGGCGACACTGAAATGCCAGCTAACTAGCCGGTGGGGAACGCAGCGCTGTGAGCAACTGTAGGGGAGTGCCGATGGAGGTGCTGACATAGAGAGAAATGCGAGTGTTGCGGCAATTTGCGGGAAGGGGGTCGGCGATAGAATGATGGAGGGACGCGGCCGTCTTCACCGACACGCAGTTACGTCATCTCCATCCCAGGTCCGCGCGCCGAAAGTGTCCCTTCATTCAAACAACCCTACAGATATCGTGAGACGTTACAGTAGGACGGGTCGGTTTCCGACTATCAATGTCCACCATTGTCACAGGTTGATGCTGGTATTGGAAATTCAAAGACACAGGTGTTGTGAGCGCACCCACATTGATCTTCGCACTAAGATGCTGAAAAAGGCATAGAAAGGCGTCTCGAAAACTTGATACTCCTCAAATCCAAGATAATAATTGCTGTCAGCAAGCTCTTCAATTTTCACAAAAGAAAAGGACTCATGGCTTCTTCGAAATCTTCATTCTTTAAGCATTTGTAAAGCGCAGAGACTGTGGCACCCAAAAGTGCAGAGGAAAAGTGCAGCGACCGAAGACGTTGAGGGTAGCACACACGAGGCAACGTGGAGCAATAGTTATAACTGCAGGCTAATACCACTCTGAAGAGAGTTGTTAAACGGGTCATCGATCTCTTCCAAACTGGGAACAGGAGTCAAATGGTGCGATGTGATGGAGAATAGGCACGGCCCAGGTAAGTGAATAGAAGAAGACGGGAAGGCGATCGCTGGGAGCAGTTGTTTATTTATTCGAAGTTCCGAACTCTCACGCAAGCTCATTGTCAAGGACTGAAAAATCTCCACATTTCATCGCATATTTAGTTAATCTCTGCCGTGGATGACCTCCAGCAGCGTCGCTGATTTGTCCACGCAATGCTGGATAAGCGACTGGCAGATCGACCTGTCGAGTAATCGAGTTCTTAGTTGAATGCCACGCTTCCTGCAGCAGGCGTGCAACTTGGTCGTCTGACTGGCCCAATATTCTCACGCAATAAAAGTCGAAGTCGTGTCCTGGTGAGGGGGCATGGGGGGCTACTAAGGAGAGTTTAGCTTTCCGCCTCACAGCCAACTTGTGCTCATGCAGTTTCGTGCATACCTGTTTGCCGATTTCACCAACATAATTGGCTTGACCACAGTTGCAGTATATCCGGTGAATGACCCTCGATTTCTGATTTATGGGAGTCGAGTCCATAGTATGCAAGATTTACCGGCACATTGTTGCTTTGGGCGTGTGACCTACGCCAATCTCAAATTCGCTCATCTCTACAGCTAATTCTTCTGACACACGGACTATGTACGGCACCGCACGCCAGTATTCCGGTTTTGGCTGTCCCTTCGGTCTTCTTCCCCGGGTTTCTCGCCTGAAATTTTCGACAAAATTTCATGGGTAACAATTATCTGTGAAGAGTTTCCGCAGGAACGGGACATCGGCCTTCTTGTCCGCTGGTTCATTGTAGGCCAAAAAACTTTCCGAGTGCAGCTGATGCGTTGCTCCCTCATTTAGTCAAGTAAGTAGCTAGCCACCAAGAGGGTCTTATTGCTGAGGATTTCAATGCACCTGCAATAGGGTGGGAAACTATGGCAGTTAACAGAGGACCAACTTTCTTCAGCATTAAAATAATGGACATCGAACTCGACCTCCCACTGGCTCAACATGTGAAGGTGCCAAAAAGATTAGAGAGAACTGGAGAGCTAATTGCTTGGACCTACTTTTCACAAAAGACTTCTCTAATATTGACGAAGTGTGTTCCAGTGTACCTCTCGGAAAGAGTGACCATAATACGCTACTATGGGATTACTCGCTCTTCTCTCAACGCCAGAATAAAACAGAAGGCCAACCTAATATATGGAAGGCAGATTTTAAGACGACGAGGAAAGGATCGATGTCCGCGAATTGGGACCGTTTGCTCATGGGAGATCCAGAGAAACACTGGAGATCGTTTAAGACGATTTCAGTCGATAGAATTCTGCGCTGTGCCCACCTAAGTTAAAAAGACGACTAGTCGACCTGCCTCGTTAATTAAGAGCCTGAATAGACAGTTACGGAAGAAAAGCAAAAGATGGAAGATATTCCGGAAAACTGAGTTACCAATGCAACTCGACGAGTTTCGTCGTCAACAGAATACAGTTAAAAAATGCATGCGTCAGACACGGAAAGAGTATGAATCTAGAATTATCCAACAGGCTGAATAGAAGCCCAAAATTTCAATCCTCAATTCAATTCTCTACATCAACAGTAGATGGAAAGACAAGGACCAGGTCGGAAAACTGAAGGATGATAATGGTATAGAAATCGTTGAAAACAGCGAGAAGGCCGAACACTTATGACGGTACTTTGTCTCGGTTTTCACCAGGCAAACAGAGTTTCGCAGTCACAGTGCCAACAATGCTGTCCAGACCGCTGGTCCTCTGCTTGACTCCATACTCTTTACGACATCAGTCGTGGAAAGGGAGCTACAAGATCTTGAAGAAAAGTCCTTGGGTTCGGACAATATACTGGCAGAATTCCTAAAAGAATTAGCGAACGATCTCTCCAATACACTAGCAGACATATACAGGTGGTCATTCGAATTGTGGAGGCTGCCATCCGAATAGAAGATGGCAGATATCTTTCCAAAATATACAAGGGCGCGGCTCGCACTAATGCTAACAATTACCAGCCTGTTAGTCACGCCTGCATCCGTAGAAAATAATAAAAGCCATAGTAACGAAAGCAACGATGCAGTTAGTGGAGCAGGGCAATTTACTCTCACACCTGCAGCACGGCTTCAGACAGAACCGCTCGTGCCTTTCCAGTTTATTGCTCTCGACGGAGCAATGGACTTGCGCACTGGACGAGGATGGTGGTGTCGATGTCATCTACACAGACTT